AAGTATAAACATTCCCACCTGAAGCTAATAATACCCGTACATTATTCACTTAGCCTCTACAGCAACATAGAAACCATTATTATTATTATTATTATTATTATTATTATTATTTGTTTACAATGATATGCCTCTACTGTGATGTATATAGAATCCTGGTTCTCTCCGTACAATTTATCTATCTATCAATTCATGTATCTAGTGTGTGTGTGTGTGTGTGTGTGTGTGTGTGTGTGTGTGTGTGTGTGTGTGTGTGTGTGTGTGTCCCTCCTAGAGATACACGGGAAGGTACAACTTAACTGAATCTCACTTCTACAAATGCTGTTGTTAGTGTTTTTCCTCCTACCTCTTTTCCCTCCTCCCGCAGACGTTACACCTGGGATCCAGTTGATAGCCACGAGCCCCACACACCACCTGCAACACCGTCATAGTGTGTTGGGCCACGTCGTTGATATCAGGTGCTACTCTCTCTCTGTTGTCGCCAGTCTGTAACTTCCACTAGGAATTCAGTACTTTTGATTTGTTTATTTTCCTTAAGTGATAGAGGAGGCAGGGGTGGAAGGGAAGGCAGAGGGGAGGGATGGATGGGAGAGGAGGGTCGGAGGGGGGAGAGGAAGGGGAGGGAGGAGGGGAGGGTAGATTGGACAAGAGGGGAGAGGAGGAGGACAAGAAGGAGAGAGGAGGAGGACAAGAAGGAGGAGAAGGAGAGGAGCAAGAACAGTGGTTGGTAAGAGGGAGGAGGGAGGAGGCGTGAGAGGGCAGGAAGGGAGAGAGGAAGGGAGACGGGGGGGGGGAGCAGTAAGGAGAGATGGTTATTTAAAACCTAAAGAAAAGGAAGGAAAAATAACTGAGGGGAGGGGAGACAGAAGAGAAAAGGAAAGGAAAGAACTACAGAAGAATAAGGAAAATAATTATTATGAAGTAGAAAAAAAAGGAAAAAATATACAAAGGGGAGAATATGGGTTAAGAGTGGAAGGGGGAGATGGAATAGAAAGGAAGGGAAGATATAGGGTAGTAAAAAGGAAGAGGGAGATGGAATAGAAGAGATAAGATCGATAGTATTTATGTACTGGTATATTTTAACCCGTATGTACTTCCTACTTACGGGTGAGATTACTAAAACGTCACTCCGGGGTTCTGCTTGGCATAGGACTGGCTACAGAATGCCCCATAATGCCCAATAGAAAGAATGGGTATACAGTGTGTGTGTGTGTGTGTGTGTGTGTGTGTGTGTGTGTGTGTGTGTACCGTCTCTGAGCTGTGGCCTGCAGGTCTGTGTTTTCTGATAGTTTACGACAGGCCGCCCGAGGCAGTAAACATCACCCTCGGATATTCAGGATGACGGCTATCTGCAGCTCCAGGTGTGTATATATGTATGTATGTATGTGTGTATATATGTATGTGTGTATCTATGTGTGTATGTATGTATGTATGTATGAAGTAGACTATGAACAACTGAACTGTCCCTTTAAACAATCTCAAATATCTATCAACTTTTTTTTATTTTTTTATTTATTGTTTCGTTTATATTTTATCGTGAGTCTTTTGTTTTGTTGTTTCTTTACATTTTATCGTGAGTCTTTTGTTTTATTGTTTCACTTATATTTTATCGTGAGTCTTTTGTTTTATTGTTTCACTTATATTTTATCGTGAGTCTTTTGTTTTATTGTTTCGTTTATATTTTATCGTGAGTCTTTTGTTTTATTGTTTCCTTTATATTTTATCGTGAGTCTTTTGTTTTATTGTTTCCTTTATATTTTATCGTGAGTCTTTTGTTAGTTTGTTGTCGTAATCGGTTTACAGATGGGGCGAACCTAAGCCGCAGCGCTGCCTATGTTATTGAACTATTTGTGTGTGTTAATGGAGAGAGAGAGAGAGAGAGAGAGAGAGAGAGAGAGTCAACCGGCATAGAGTGATGAATGTAATGAGTCAGCTAAGTAGCGTCACTTGAGTAGAATCATAACAGATGAATCAGGTGAATCATCTACCAGAGTGAGTCATAGCAGGTGAATCAAGTGAGTCAGTAATCAAAAGTGAGTTATTACAGGAGAGTCAGTTACCTGAGTGAGTCGTAAAAGGTGAGTCAGACGAGTCAATTAACAGAGAGAGTCATGACAGGTAAAATAAACAACTTTTTTTTGTACAGCTTTATAATACCAACAATCATTTATATTGTCCCGTCATCACTGGACCAATACCTTTCCTCTCAATTACCTTTGTAAATTTCAATCACTTTTAAATAACATAGACCAAAAAAATGATGAATCTGCTACTATAAAAATATATTACTGATGTTTGTTAATATATAGAAATATGTTATATATAACTTATTGTATCCAGGGTGACGGGGGTGGTGGTGATGGTGGTGGTGGTGGTGATAGTGGTGGTGATGGAAATGGTAGTGATGGTGGTGGTGGTGATAAAAGAGATAGAAAAATAGACAGGAACATTGAGAGAGAGAGAGAGAGAGAGAGAGAGAGAGGACCACACTACAGTACTTTACCTTGCACGACGTATACACTGGTAGCTCTCACACGTCTTGAGGACCTCGGCGACACACCAGCAGCACCAGCCTCATGGGTCGTGCTTCGGGCTGCTGACGATGACCCCAGACCTGGTGAAGCCGTGGACTGGCCTCGTGATGGCATGAACAGGTGTGGCGGAAGCGAGGTGGGACTTGTTGAGGGACGAGGAAGAGGTAATGTGGGCGTGATGGATGTGAAAGAGCCGGTGACGGTGGGCGTGTTGGCTACAGGAGAGGATATGGGTGTAGAGGAGACTGTAAGAGGAGTCGACGATGGGCGTAGGTGTGGTGAGGAGGAGTCGAGGGAGGAGGAGGAAGAGAAGGGGGAAGAGGGGGAGGGGGGGGAAGAGGTAGAAGAGATGGAAGAGGAGGAGGGGGGACTGGGTGCGCCCTCGTGAACCAAGAAAGAAAGAGCCTCACGATATCTGTCAGAGGAAGGAGAAAAATGAGAGGAATGTGAGATGTAGGAAGAGAGGGGAGAGAAAAGGGTGTGTGTGAGAGGTGATGGAGAGGAGAGGGAGTGTGAGGAAAGAGGAAGAGAGGAGAGGGAGTGTGAGGCAGGAGGAGGAGAGGAGAGGGAGTGTGAGGAAGGAGGAGGAGAGAAGAGGGAATGTGAGGAAGGTGATGAAGAAGAGGCGACGGAGTGTGAGGCAGGAGGAGGAGAGTAGAGGTGGTATGAGGAAGGTGGGGGAGAGGAGAGGGAGAATGAGGAAGGTGAGGGAGAGGAGAGGGAGTATGAGGAAGGTGAGGGAAAGTAGTAGGTAGACCTCATCCTCGCCGCTGATCTCTTCCCCTCGACCTCGTGGCTGCAAGACAACAAACAGGCGTGAGCAACTAACATCACGGGAACTCAAACACGAATCACCAAACAGAAGAAAAAATTGAACATTCACAAAATATTTAGGTTAATGTAGAGGTTTTAAAGGAGAATAAATCATTTAAGTCATACTGTGTTTATATTAACTTATTACCAGAAAAATCTGTGTAATGGATGAAAAACAAAAGAATATTAGAATTTATAAAGCGTTTGAAAATTTTACTTTCCCTCCCACTGTGAAAGGGAGTGAACACCTCCTCCCCCATAGCTTCTTGTCACCTTTTCCAATTCCCTTTTCCCCTTCCCCTCTTTCCCCTTCCCCTCTTTCCCCTTCCCCTTCATTTATCAACAGTATTAAACAAACCTCTGGGAACTTCCTCAAAATTCTCAATAAATTTGTCAGGATTTATCACATAAAATTCTCGTGATCAGTTTTAAGGACAAATAACATTATAAAATCCAAGATAAATTCTATGATTAAACTGAACACCGAAAAGATTGGTGTTATTAACGAAATATTTTATCAAGACAATATTGACCCAGAGAAAATTGGTGTCGTCATGAGAATATTTTTATAACCAAAATTGTATATGATGGTGTGTGTGTAGGTAGAGTGATGTGGTGTGTGTGTATAGTGAGGTGATGTGTATAGTGTGTGTGTATAGTGAGGTGATGTGTATAGTGTGTGTATAAAGTGATGTGGTGTGTGTGTGTGTGTGTATAGTAAGGTGATGCGTATAGTGTGTGTATAGTGAGGTGATGTGTATAGTGTGTGTATAGTGAGGTGATGTGTATAGTGTGTGTATAAAGTGATGTGGTGTGTGTGTATAGTGAGGTGATGCGTGTACAACGTGTGTATCCTTTAGTAAAATATCCCAGTCCTGACTCACCTGTACTTTGAGCGTCGAGGGTCCAGGTGCCAGGTGGGGGCGCTGGCTACCTGTTCCCCTGACGTACGTTCCACGACTTGACCATCTTTACGCCAACCAGGTGAAGTTAATCCCAACCAGCCTATAGTATTTTCTGGCCTTGTCGTGGTATATCGCACCGACGTTGTTATATATCGTGACTTGCAGTCGTTTTGAGGTCGTGTTTCTCCAGTGATGCCTTCCTCAGCCTCCCGCCCCTCCTCCTGTGTCGTGATGCTTGTTGTTAACGATGTGTCCTGCCTCACAGTGGGTCCTGTGAATGCCGGACTACTGTTTCCTGTTTCTTTATCATGCCTTTCTCTATTCCTCTTTCTCATCCTCCTCCTCATCCTCCTCTCCTTTCTCACTCCTCTTCCTCCTCCTCCGCCGTCGTCTTTGTCACCACCTATTGCCCGAGGCGCGTTTCCACTCAGCTGAATCTTTAGGCTCTCAACTCCGCCCAGTGGCTCCTCTTCCTCCACCTCGCCAACCTCCCTCTCTTCCACCTCGCCAGCTTCCCTCTCTATCTCCTCGCCAGCCTCCTTCACTCTCTCCTCGCCAGTCTCCCTCTCTCCCTCCTCGCCAGTCTCCCTCTCTCCCTCCTCGCCAGTCTCCCTCTCTCTCTCCTCGCCAGCATCCTTCTCTCCCTTTTTACCAATCTCCCGCTCTCCCTCTTCATCAATCTCCCTCTCTTCCTCCTCACCAAACTCCCCTTTCCCCTCTTCATCAATCTTCTCCCTCTCTCCTTTTATCCTCTCCCCCTCTCCCTCTATCCTCTCCCTAGGTCCGGCTTTCTGAAAAGGATTGAATTGTGGAGGCGACATATGGAGTTGTGGAGGATTATCATGAAGTATGGCGGTGAGAAGCGGGTGGTGGAGCAGCGTGGTGGAGGAAGAGGTGTCGTTGAGGAGTGAATAAGGGTGTATTGGAGGAGGTGGAGGAGAGGCTGCTTCATCCTCCTCCACTCCCAATGGCTTCAAAATCTTCCCTCTGGTGGCTTCAACACCGACACCTAGACCTGTAAGGGAAAAATATGCCATTAGTACACGAGTAATATCAATAACCACAAAAAAATAAAAATAAAATAAAAATAAAATAAAAATAACCGAGAACAAAACCCGATGGTCAGGAATTAGGAAGAATAGGAGAAGGATGAGGACGAAGAGGAGGAGGAGGATGCATGGCCTTCATTAGTCTCGTCCCCCCACATATGAAGTTGACTAAGATAATTACTTACGATCCAACAGCCAATTAAGTCCAAATTTGTCTCTTTGATCCGCGGGACCACACCACACCAGGGTGGCAAAAACACACCTCACAGCCATGTCATTGACGAGTCAGGTAGTTGCTATACACTGACTTAGAGAGAGAGAGAGAGGTGTGTGTGTGTGTGTGTGTGTGTGTGTGTGTGTGTGTGTGTGTGTGTGTGTGTGTGTGGCGCCGTTATCGTCCATCTTACGTCAAGCTCAGTTCACGATGCTTAAACTCACTAATATAATCACTTTCTCTTGGTTGTATTATGACCCAAAGATTTATTATAACACAAACTGTAAAATAGTTATTCTCTCTTGAGTGAGCGTAATGATGGCGCCTAACATGTGTCCAGAATTGATCTACTTATTCCCCCAACAGAGTAACATTGTACATTCACTTTCCTTCCTTGTTTTAACCGTTTTTAGAGACTTTTTTTTCCGCGACCGACCGACAAAATGCGATTGAAATAATTATGACAATTGACTTAATCCTTGAAAAAGCAAAATAGTTTATAAGTATTATAACAAAATCAGGAAATAAAATATTAAAACAAGTAATCAGAAGAAAAAATAATCTTTATTAATATAGAAAATTAATAATCAGTTTTGGTCATGTTTCTTAGAAAGGAGAGTCTTCTCATACTTCTTACGCTTACAGTAAGGTATAGCGTAGGCCTCCCTATCTTTAACTTGTTCAGGTTGTTGGTCGAGGAACTCAAACTGCACAGTTTTATTGTTCTCCTCATGGCCACGCTTTTTCAATAATCCTCTCAGAGGGGTCGTTAGCGGTTTGGAGAACACTCCCTTGATGGAGGCAGTCTCTCCATCCAGGTCCTTCGGGCAGTCTGGGTGATAGAGGTAGTCTACCCGGATGTGTTGAGAGAGGCGGTCATAGCTGGGGCGTTTACGATCCATCCACAAACATATACGTTTACCATCCAGACCGATTGCTTGGTCCTGGTAAAACTTATTAGTGTAAGTGGCCACGGCCTCACCAAGGTTTCTACCTCTTGCGCCAGATGGCATGTATAGATTCACCAGGCCGCCCACGCTGCCCATCACAAGGTGGAGCTGAACACGGCGACAGCGGAAAGGGATATTTCGTACACGAACCGAAAATTCATGATACATATTGCATTGTTCGGTTTCGTAATCTTGACGGGATGTCCCACTCCACGAATTAGACTGTGGACGGGATGGCCCACAGCATGATTCAGACTTTGGGCTGGATGGCCCACTCCATGATTTAGACCGTGGGCGGGATGGCCCACCCCGCGATATATATTCGCTGTTTTCCCAAGTCGACGATCCTTGGGTGTTTGTGTCTGTGGTTTTGGCCTGGCTTCTCGGCAGTTCGAAGGCTCCTGCTGACACCATATTTGACGTTATATTACACTCTCGTGAATGAAGCTTTTGGTGTATAGCTAGCTGCAGTAACTTAACCTGAGAAATGTAGTAAGAGGTTAGGATTACTGTAGAGAGTGCAGTGTGTGAAGTGATGATGTGTAGTGTAGTGCAGCGTATGTAGTGATGATGATGTAGTGTAGTGTAGTGTATGTAGTGATGATGATATGTAGTGTATGTAGTGATGATGATGTGTAGTGTAGTGTATGTAGTGATGATGATGTAGTGTAGTGTAGTGTATGTAGTGATGATGATATGTAGTGTGTGTAGTGATGATGATGTAGTGTAGTGTAGTGTATGTAGTGATGATGATGTAGTGTAGTGTAGTGTATGTAGTGATGATGATATGTAGTGTGTGTAGTGATGATGATGTAGTGTAGTGTATGTAGTGATGATGATATGTAGTGTAGTGTATGTAGTGATGATGATGTAGTGTAGTGTAGTGTATGTAGTGATGATGATATGTAGTGTAGTGTAGTGTATGTTGTGATGATGATGGTGTGCAGTGTATGTAGTGATGATGATGTAGTTTAGTGTAAGAGGTGATGAAGATGATGTAGTGTAGTGTATGTGGTGATGATAATGATGTGGTGTAGTGTATGTGGTGATGATGATGTAGTGTGTGTAGTGATGATGATGTAGTGTGTGTAGTGATGATGATGTAGTGTGTGTAGTGATGATGATGTAGCATAGTGCAGTGTATGTAGTGATGATGATATGTAGTGTAGTGTAGTGTATGTAGTGATGATGATATGTAGTGTGTGTAGTGATGATGATGTAGTGTAGTGTAGTGTATGTAGTGATGATGATATGTAGTGTAGTGTAGTGTATGTAGTGATGATATATGTGATGATGGTATGTAGTGTAGTGTATAGGTGATGATGTATGTGTAGTGATGATGATGTAGTGATGATGTGTAGTGTATGTAGATGATGATGATGTAGTGTATGTAGTGATGATGGTAGTGTATGTAGTGATGATGATGAAGTGTGTGTAGTGATGATGATGTAGTGTAGTGTAGTGTATGTAGTGATGATGATATGTAGTGTAGTGTAGTGTATGTTGTGATGATGATGGTGTGCAGTGTATGTAGTGATGATGATGTAGTTTAGTGGAAGAGGTGATGAAG